CCCCCCGTTTTTTCCCGTTTTTTCCCGCAACTTTTCCTGTTTTTTCCGGCTTCCAAATCCCTACTCGACTTACGTGCAGGACGTCCGAGGCCGCCGACGTGCCAAGCTGGTTCTGGGCGAAGATGCGGAAGTGGTAGGCGGTGGCCGGGCGGAGGCCCGCGATCAGCGTGGAAGTCTCGGCGCCCTCCAGCACCTTCTGCTGATTGTGGTCGTGCCACACATCTGGAATGCAGGGCATGCAGTTGGAGATATGGACACTGGAGCTGTGCTCAAACCAAGTGCCCTTTGGGGAGGGGGAATCCAAGTATTATGGGGTCCCAAAAACTTTTGGGACCACACAATATTTTTGATCCCGCCCTCTAAAATCACGTAGTGTTGATACTTATTGGCACGCATTTGTAAATCATGGTCGGCGCCGCTGTCCTCACCTCTTGCCTCCTTGTATTGCACGATGTAGGACACGACGGCCGAGTCCGAGTCGGCCGCGGACGGCGCCGGGCTCCAGGACAGTGTCACGGACCGACCCGTCTGCTCAGAAACGCGCAGGTTCCGCGGAAAGTCGGGCAGCTCTGCAGGGAAAACAACAAGGAAAGTTCGGAAAGTTACGATGCAGAACGACGTCACCCCAATGGACAAGCCACTTTGAGGTCACTCGACAATTATTGCGTCAGGAATTCCCTCGTCAAACCTCCCGAAGATCACTACTCACCCTGCACCAGCAGCTGCACGCCCACGCTGTCCTGGCCGTACGCGTTGTTGGCGATGCACTGGTACTCGCCGCGGTCGCGCAGCTCCGTCTCCTCCACGGTCAGCTCCGAGAGCACGCCGGCCAGGGGGCCGCCGCCGGCGCCGCCCGCGGCCGAGCCCGCTCCCAACGGCGTGGTCTTGATGGCGTACCTGCGCACCAGGAGGGGAGAGCGCCTGTGAGGTAGGCCGGCCCGTCGCGCGCGCCCACCCGGCGGGTCGGCCTACCTCCGCCAACGCAGGCGCCATGGCCGCCAGCCGCCGCCAGTCAACCTTACCTGCCGTCGAAGGCCGGGTCGATCCTGGAGCCGCGCAGCCGCCACACGATCTCCAGGGTGGGGTCGCCGTCAGCGGCGCACCTCAGGGTCACCGCCTCGCCTCGGCGGGCCGTCTCCGTGCGCGGGCGAGGCCGGATGCGGGGCCCGGCTGCGAGAGGGAGAGAGAGAGGGGGGGGAGGGGGATTAGAAAGGCTCTCGCAGGACCGGCCCCTCCGACCTTGCTGCCAAGTCCTAATCGCTCCCGGAGGCTCACCCAGCACGTTGAGCTTCACCAGCTTGCTGAGCGCTGGCCCGATGCCGTTGGTGGCCTGGCACATGTAGTGGCCCTTGTGTTGGCCGCCGGCCTCGGCAAGGAACAGCGACCCCTCCTCCAACTGCTGGAACTCGAACCCCACGTCTCGAAACTCTTGCGGCTGCGTTCCTAAAAGAAACGCCAAAGGCTTTCATTAAAAGGCAAACGAAAGTGGCAAAGAAACATACCAGGTGGCTGATTCATACCGCGCACTTTCGTAGCCATACTGTACCGCATGCACGGGTGCGGGTGGGTTTGCCTATCCTTGGTGCCCACGGCTCCTTACAGCCCCGCACGAGTAGGCAACCCGCCCGCACGCGTGCATGCTGTACAGTATAACTATGAAAGTGCGTGGCCTGAATCAGCCACCTGGTTCAGTGGATTGGAAGTGCCCACTATTACGTCTCAACTAAACCGTTTGTTCGTGACGGCCACAGTTATTGTGCGACCCGCGTTTGTATGCACTAAATTTTCTACGACATGTAGTTTCTACGGCCTGCTGAAAGCAAAATATTGCGTACAATGGGGTCCATTCATTATCAGGAGTGTCACTCGAAACCTTCTTTTGCTGCCCTCTCTCCGTCACGCCAATTCACAAACACAATCGGCCAGTTGCTTTGCTCCGTCCATGGCCGGTTTTCCGCGTAGCTTTCTCTGGAATCCATCCGACTCTCTTGGCCAAAAGAGACCAAACCGCAAACAAAAAGCGCAACACTGTTGGCATCCACACGCAATGGTGGGCAGCACTAGCCGACCCATGAATATAGCAAGAGGAAATGTGGACGGTGTGGCAGAACCCGGCGGAATTGGTCGAAAGTTGCCCCTGTCTGTTGTCAGCCCGACACTAGCCGCACTCGAACCATGCCGACTCCTCCTCAGCTCTCACCTGCGGATGGACAGCGATGAGCGCGGTCAGGTCCCGCGGTCAAAAACAGGAGATTCTCCAGAACTCAGCTAACTATTTGAACATGTCCTCATTCGGGATGTACCAGAGCAGGGAGCACGGTGCACCTCTCCGCGAAAAAAAAAACTTTCCTATCAATGATGTAGGAGAATTTTACTTTACTTATTCATCATCAGTGTTTGTAGAATTCTCATTGGACTGTGCATTCAGAACATCGATTCTAAATCGGAACTTATAAAAATATTGTAGAACAACGATGACAATGAGGAACGCACGAGGTTATGTAAAATGTTTTGATGCGCCCCTCAGAAATGCCAGGTCACGCACACGCGGGTCGTACAAACGACAGGGGGGTGGGAAAGAAACTCACCGATAGCCTGCTTCCAGGTGATGGTGGGCTTGGGGAAGCCGTCGGCCTGGCACGGCAGGGTGACCGCCTTACCCAGGACGACGCTCTGCTCGGCGGGCTCGACGACCCAACGCGGAGGCACTGCAAAAAGCGGGGCACACTCAAAAGATGGCCGTCACGGAGAGCTGCAGAGAGAAGTAAAAGACTTCTTTTTACAGTGAAGGTGACGTTACTTGAATTTTATCAGTAGATAATATGAGTTACGCGATGTGAAAAAGGCCCTTTCGCCACAAAAATTAATAAAAATATTATTGAATATTAAAACTGTGGGTTGAGATTAGAGTGGATCGAACCAATGGACAAAAACTAAGACAGAAAATATCAATTTGATTGCGGCGAAAAAAAAATAATCAGGCTTCTGGGCGTAATGCGAAGCGAACGCAATGTTCGAAATCAATTATGCCCAATCCGTTCTGCCTTCCATTGGTCCAGACTCGCCCGTACACTCCGCCCACTGGGGTGCCTGCTAACTACGACATTCGCCTCGCTAAACTACTAGCGCTTCATGGTGGCCAGAAAGCAAAGCCGTGTCCGGGCAGCCCTCTCAAGACGCTACATACTCTTTACGCAAAGTGGTCCTAGGCGGCAGCGGGTGGGATGCACAGCACAACAAGCCAAAAAGCAAGAGGTACGGGGGCTTCAGCATTGGAAAGAAATATGTTCGAAATAATTGTACGAAACGTCAACGCGGATACTGTCGCAGGATCGCCGCGAGAGTCAGCTGAATTGAAAACCACGCCAAATTCCGTACGTCCGGTGCCGTTCTAAAGACTGAAGGGCCTATAGTGCTTATGGTTGCTCGCATGCGCCCAGCCCGGCCCAGCTTGCGCCGGGCCCGAACGAAACGGTGCTGTCCACTTAGGCAAAAAAATCAAACGGTGCTTTACAAAAAGTAGACTACAGAGCTACAGGAACCTCCAGCATGTCGGTAAAAAAAGAAACAAATTGGGGCAACGACGTGGAAGAAACCAGAGGTACCGCCTTCTCAGCAACGCGGCGGTACATCGCTTAGGGCGACGGGATGCGTTTTGACACAAGGAAAACTTCGGCGGAGCAAGAGCATCCCCCGCAGAGTTCTGCTACTTGTTCCCATCGACCGCCCGACGTGACCGCATCCCCCGCACTTTAGCTGTCCTCGCCTGTCGCTTCTCGTTTGACGGGGAGAAGCGGACCGCCGCCCCGCACGGAGTTTCGGGGCGCCAGTGCACGTGCACAGTTTGGAAGTATGAAAAATAACGCGCTGCGCTATACTAACTTGTATTCAGAACCCCTCGTTTCGAAAGGGTAACGTTTTACAAAACAAATTAAGAGAGATACTTTTCCTCCCTCCACTTCTATAAACTAACTACTCAACTTTGACAAAGCCTTCTAAGATTAGCACGGATTAGCGCGCCCAATAATAAACGAGATTCCACTGAACTGACTAGATTAGTTTATTTATAAAACATTGCGGAGGTTCCCGAGCGGTTTTGGGGGGTGGCTGAAGGGGGCGGAGCATTACCCGTGACCGACAGGCCGGCCGTGTACTCCGCGCGTCCGGCGTGGTTGGTCACGACGCACGTGTAGTTGCCGCTATGGTTGGCCGTCACGCTATGAATGGTAAGCACGCTCGAGTAGGCGGCAAAGTCTTTGATTTGGACGGTGTGCTGCTGCGGGCCGGCGTCGAGCGCGGCCGAGTCTTTGACCCAGGACAGCGTGACGGGCGGGTCGCCCTGGGAGGCGGTGCACATCACCTGTGTCCGCATGCCCTCGGTCAGGCCCTCCTCAAAGTAAAAGGGGGCGATCCTGGGCGGGACTGCGGAGCACCAGCCAGGCATAAAGCAATTAGCAAACAGAAAGAGACAGAGAGAGACAGAAAAGGGGGTGGCGAGAGAAAGAGAGTCGTCCCGCCGTCTGCCGCTCGGGAGGATGGAGTGCGTTGTTTTCGCGACGCCAGCGTCGCCGAGATGTAAACAAACGCGGCTCGGCACTCTGGGCGGCCTGCAGCGGAACTGACGCTCTTCTCTGCCAGAAGCACCCCGGGAGCGGCGGCGTTGCACCGCGCTCGAGTGAGGCCAGACTTTCCTTGTCTGCGACCCGGTCGTCAGGCTCGGGGCATTCGTGACAAGAAAGTTTGGAGGGGAAAAGGAGAAAGTCATACACGAAATCACGGTCGGTGTGTACACAAGACTGCAGGGCGCGGCTCGGCGGGTCGGCAGGCCAAAGCGAAGGTTAGACAAAAAAAAAAAGAGAAATAAAAAGTCTCTGGAGAAAGTAAAATGAAGCATCGGGTACACAGAGAAAAATGTTTGACGTTCACAGTCAATGTTGTAGCTTGAGTGGTACCTTCCGAAGTGTGAGTGATATTATTTTATTAATATTTTAAATGTACGTATTTTTAACGGGAAAGTGAACACAAGTTTTAGTTAGGTATCGTTTGCTGCACAACAAATTTTCTCTGTGTATTTTTACACGCTGAGGAGTGTCTCACATAAGTCTTCATGCCAGAAACGGAGTATAGTAGTATAAATATCTCGACTGAATCAAAGTGTTTTGGAAAAAAGTCTGTAATTCTCTGGTGCATTCAATGACGACCAACGGCATGATACATGATGTTGAGTACATTGTCCTCGAGTGTGTTGTCCAGAATATGAGTTCCAAAGGCAACAACCAACAACATGGTTACAATAGGGTATAATATGTCTGTTGTCATGCACAAACTGCGAGCGCTCGGCCAGGGGGCACGGCCGGGCGTGGGAAAAATGAAGA